ATGCTCCGAGTTTGGGCCTCCCACGATATGAATGTTACATGAACTCTTTACAAATTATACTTTTAGCTCCAACCCCCAGCTGAGCAGAAGTGGCAGTGAGTTTGACCTCTTTGCCCAAGAGTGATGCAGTAAGAAAGCTCTGGAGATCTGGGTTCTAATTCAACTCTGATTCCAAAGAGCTAAGTGCCATTGAGCATGTCTCCAGCCCTCTCTGGGACTCAGTTTCCCATTTGTAAAATCTTAGGGAAAAGAATGGGTTGAGGGGCCAGGCATGGTGGCTCACGTCTATAATCCTAGCACTCTGGGAGGCCAAGGCGGGAGGATCACTCAAGGTCAGGAGTTCAAGACCAGCCTGAGCAAGAGTGAGACCCCGTCTCTACTAAAAATAGAAAGAAATTAGCTGGACAACTAAAAATATATAGAAAAAATTAGCCGGGCATGGTGGCGCATGCCTGTAATCCCAGCTACCTGGGAGGCTGAGGCAGGAGGATTGCTTGAGCCCAGGAGTTTGAGGTTGCTGTGAGCTAGGCTGACGCCATGGCACTCTAGCCAGGACAATAGAGTGAGACTCTGTCTCAAAAAAAAAAAAAAAAAAATGGGTTGAGGGAGAAGAGGTGACCCTTGAGGCATGGGCTTTGGAGTTATACTGCTGGGTTTTAATCTCATTTTTCTAGCTCTGTCCGGCGGCAAGTTGCTTAACTTTTCTGAGCCTCAGTTTTCTCATCTATAAAGCAGATAATACCTACCTCAAGGGATTTGCTGACAAGTTAAATGACATAATGTGTCTAAAACACATGGCTTAGTTCCTGGCCCACAGGAAGATTTTTTATGAAAGTAGAATTGACTTTTATGAAAGTAGAATTTTATATAGTGAAATGCTCAGATCTTAAGCATTCAGTCAATTTTGATGACTGCATATCAAGATACAGAACATTTTGATCACCCCGGAAAGTCTTCTCAAGCCCTTTCCTAATCAATCCTCTTCCCAGAAGCAACTATGGATCTGATTTCTATCACCACAGGTTAGTGTTGTCTATTTTAGAATTCCATTTGAAAGAACCAGACAGCATACAGATGCTCCTCAACCTAGAATGGGGTTACATCCCGAAAAACTCATCATAAGTTGAAAATATCACAAGTCAAAAATGCACTTAATACATCTAACCTAGCTGGGTGTGGTGGCAAGCGCCTGTAGTCCCAGCTATTCGGGAGGCTGAGGCAGGAGGATCGCTTGAGCCCAGGAGCTCGAGGTTACAGTGAATTGTGATCACACCACTGAACTCCAGCCTGGGCAACAGTGGGAGACCCTGTCTCTAAAAACAAACAAACAAACATATATATACCTAACCAAACACCATAGCTTAGCCTAGCCTATGTTTGTTTTTCTTCACTACCCTCAATCTCAGTGGGATAGCCTAGCCTACCTAAAACACACCCAGAACACTTACAATAACCTACAGTTGGGCAAAATCATCCAATACAAAGCCTATTTTATAATGAAGCATTGAATATCTCATGTAATTTATTGAATACTGTACTGAAAGTGAAAAACTCCAAGTATAGTTTCTACTGAATGCATATCACTTTCACATCATTATAAAGTCGAGAAATCGAAGTTGAAAATCATTCCTATTAATGCATATTGGTAGATCATTTCTTTATGGTGTATATAATTTCATTGTATAAATATGCTACATTTTACCCATTCTATTGTTGATGAGCATTGGGGCTATTTCTAGCGTTTTTACTATTATGATTGAAGCTGCCATGAACATTCTAGCTTGAATTTAGTACAAAACTTTTGTGGACAAATATTTTCATTTCTCTTGGGTAATATCTAGGAGTGGAATGCTGACTCACAAAGTAGATGTATATTGAATTTTTTAAAAGAAACTCCCAAACGGTTTTCTAAAATGGCTGTTCACATTCCCACCAGCAATGTCTGAGAGTATAGTAACTCCACATCCTCTATGACATTCGGTGTGGTCAGTCTTTTCGATTTTAGCCATTCTGGTGGGTGCTTCGTGGTATCGGTATCACCTTGTGGTTTTAATTTGCATTTCCCCGATGACTAATGATGAACTCCTTTCATATGCCTATTTAGAATTTTTTTAAGGTAGTTCCTTTTCCCTTCATTGCCATGTATTCGCAAGACTGTTGAATAAAAGAGGAAGGGAAAAACTGATGGCAAAGTCTACTAGAAATATAAAAATCCAAAAACAAGCATGAGCTCAGCCTCAGAACCCCTCCCTTAGCTTTGGTTTCCCAGGACTCGGGGTGCTAAGGACGTGCTTGCCTTCCGAGGGAGCCAAGATCATGGCTGACTTGAGGTCAGAGCGTTTTCATGATAAATTTGTCCCTGACTGGATAATCATCATCACTGCCACCATTTATAAACTACTACTATGCTCTAGGCACTTTATGTATGCCTAATTTCCACAATAGCCCTGTGAGGTTGCTCTATGATCTCCATTGGGTGGACTTTGGAAATCAGAGATGTGCACTCCCTTGCTTAACGCCACACAGCTACGTCTCCGCAAGACCCAGATTCAAAGTGTGGCTGTCTGGCTCCAAGATCTCATTTGCCAGTCACTTCCTTGAAAAACTCCACCTTATATACAATACAATAGAATACTATTCAGCTAAGAAAAGGAATGAAGTCCTCATACATGCTACAAAATGGATAAACCTCAGAAACATTATTCTAAGTGAAAGAAGACAGCCACCAAAGATCACATGTTGCGTGATCCCATTGACATGAAATATCCAGAACAGATAAATATATACACAGATTGCAGATTGGTGGTTGCCAGGGGTTGGGGGGAAAAGGCAATGGGGAACAACTGCTTAATGGATGTGGGGCTTTCCTTTGGGGCGAGGTGACAAAAATGTTTTGGAACTCGATAGAGATGGTGGTTACAGAACACTGTGAATGCACGAAAATGCTACTGAATTACTTGAAATAGTTTAAAATGGTTAATTACACGTTATGTGAATTTCACCCCAATAAAATTAAAAAATAAAAAACAAAACTCTACCCTAGAGTCTCTTCCTCATTGACAAGCCTAATTTTACCATTAGTGATTCAGTCCTTTGGGTACTGAAGCCTCCTGCACCCAGGCCTGATCTTTTCTTCCCCAGAGACGCCTCCCCCCGCCCGTTGAGAATTCCAGGGCAGAAAGGGAGGAAACAGCAGCAGCATGACTCAAGAGTGGGCACTGGAGTGAGGCTGCCTGAGTTCAAGTCCAGGCACTTCCACATCCTCATCTGTAAAACGGGATGATGACGTTACCAACCTCACGGGGTTGCTGTGAGGACTGAATGAAATCCTGTACGTCTGGACACACGTGATGTTTATTTGCTAATCTGTAGCCTCAGGGCAGCCGCCCTCTCCTGCTGTCATTCATTCCACAAATATATCAAGCACCAACTATGTGCCAGGCACTGTTTTAGGCTCTGGGGATTCATCTGGAAGCAAGAACAACAAAATTCCTTTCTTCTTGGAGCTCACATTCTATTTGGTGAAGAAGACAACAGAAAAAATATATAGTATGTTAGATAGCACAACACGCTAAAGCGAAAAAAATAAATAGCTGAGGGATGAGAGAGAGGAAGCTTGGGGGAAAGTGTAAAATTTTCTATTGGGTGGCTACAGAAAGCTTCCCTGACTGATGCCCTGGGGGAGTGCGGGGGATTAGGGTCCTGTCGCTACTGCAACCAGTTACCATAAACAACGCAAATTCAGTATCTTACAGTTCTTGAGGTCAGGAGTCCAAAATGGGTTTTACTGGGCTAAAGTCAAGGCCTCGGCAGAGCTGTGGTCATTCTGGAGCCCCCTAGGAGGGCATTCCGTCTCCTTGCCTCTCCCAGCCCCCGCAGGCCACCCGCCTTTGTTGGCTCAGGGCCCGCATCACTCCAACTTCTGCTTCCGTCAGCACGTCTTCTCTGACCTTGATTCTCCTGCCTACCTCTTGTCCTTGTGAGGACCCTTGCGATTACATGGGGCCCACCTGGATAATACAGGATAATGTCCCCATCTCAAGATCCTTAACTTGGTCCCATCTGCATGGAAGGTCACATATTCCCAGGTTCCAGGGATTAGGACGTGGACATCTTTGGGGGCTATTATTCTGCCTTCCATATGAGGCATAGTATCTGGAGGACACGGGAAAGCAAGTTCAAAGACCTTGAGACAGGGGTTGCCTGGCATGTTGGAGGAAGATGCAGACAGTGAGGATGGAGTAGAGTGGGCAAGCGCGAGGTGAGGTCAGAGAGATGAAGGAGACGGAGTGGCTTTCACAGGCCTTGCCAAGGCCCTCTGCAGCACGGCAGGGACCCTCGCAGCTCTGTGCCTGTCGATGCTCACGATGTGTTTGTTATATACCAAAGAAAGTACCAGGGACTTGGGTCCAAATCCTAGTTCGGGCACTCTCAAACAGTCTGGACTTCAGGCTCCCATCTCAAAAATGGAGATGGTAGATGCTGATCCCTTAAGATCCTCGTCAGCCCTGAAAACATCTGGGAAAGTGGCAGACCATACACAAGCTGGACAAATCTGAGTTACCAAAGGCCGGGGCTTTTCCTGGGCACGTGAACAGACACGCCCGCAGCCACGTGAGGCCTTCTACCGTATTGCACTTGGTTTTTCTCAGGCCGCTCCGAGGGCAAGCGGCATCTTCCTCAGGCAACAGGAACCTGGGGGATGAGTGGGGCCTGGACCCAGTGGAAACTCTCACACACCCACAGATGTACCCAAGTGTTTCCAGTGACTAAGGGCCACACGAAGCAGGTGGCTGGACCCTTCCTGAAAACTTGTTCCAGAATGGATCGGCCTGCATAGCCACTCTGACCAAAGCTGCCCCCTGTTCTGGCCATCCTCGCCCCCACTCTCCCACCTCTCTGGGGCTGAGCCTGTTCCTCACCCCCAGGCAGGGGCCCAGGCGCCCCCTTTCCCCGACAGCAGACGACACACAGGCAGGTTCAGCATGCGGGACAGTTTATTGACCCTTTCTCCCCCAGTAACTTCTCCTCACTGGGCAGGGAATAAAAGACTTGGGGGGGGATGCAGAGGTGGAAGTCAAAAGGCACACCTTGAACACGCTGGGACGGGCTGGAAGGGGCTGGTCTGAAACTGACAAGCCTCTCGTTTCAGAGGCTCGAAGGTTTGTGCCCAAGAGACACGCACTCATCCAGCCAAATCCCTTCCACCTGCTGGAGGAGAAACAGGCATCGCCCTGGCCCAGGCCTTCTCCAGGCTCTCACGCCAGCCTTGTTCAGACCTGGCTGTCACAGCTGGTGGGATCACTAGCACTGTGTGGCCATGGCATCTTGACCTGGACCAACAGGTGAGGCCTGGCTCCATCCGCACGAGCAGAGACGAAGGTGACTGACTGGCAGGAGAGCTGCAGCACACACGTGATGGGAGAGGGCGTGCTTGTCGGGGTTAGATAATGATTCCAAAATGTAGTGTAAACCCACAAGGGGGTGACTAAAGGCTGGACACCATGATTAAGTGAGAAAACGTGACTCTGTGAGCTGACCTGACTTCTGAACAAACCTCCTAACAGAGTTTTGCTCACAGCATGTCTCGGTCCCCTTGACTCTACTAAACCATCATGGAAGCAGAAGGAAGAGGGAGCAGTGGTCTGCCCCACGGGAGCCTGGGGACTGTCATGACTGTCCAGATCCCTGTGGTCAGAGGGTGTCGCAGCCATCTCTGGCCCTGAGCCTGGGACGGAGAGAAGGAGCGGGAGAGGCTGATTCCTGGAGGGCCGGCCCCACGCGCCTGCCTGCCCGCCTGGTTCCTCAGGCCTCCTCTTCTACCGCTTCTTCTTGGTCTCCTTCTTGGGCCTCTTGTTTGTGGAAGGAACAGTCGCCTTGGGCTTCCTCGTTACCTCAGCACTTCTGGGCTCAGACGGTTCTGCCTCCTGCACGGTGAGAAAAAGGAGAATCCTGCTTAGATGAATCAAGCCTGACCCCAGCAAAATGAGATCATGTCTGAAGGGACTCTGTAAACTGAAGCATGCCACAGAAACGCAAGGGATGGAAGCCATCATTAGGGACCCAGGAGCCACATGTACCGTGGGACTGCCCCGGGAGCAGCGCGGCCCTCGGTGAAGAACAAGGGAGGCCCGCGGGGAGGGGGCAGCCTGGGAGGTTTCACAGGCCTGAGTGGAATCTCCTTCGCTTCACAGCCGAGTGACCTTGCGGGAAACTCACTTCCCCTTTCTGTGTCTTGGTTTACTCACCTGTGAAATAGGAAAAGCGATGCACACCTTAGGGGGCTGACGTGAGGAGGCAAAAATACACGGAAAGCCCCAGGAAACGGCAGCCGCACCCAGTGGCTGGCCGGTCGCCCTGTGGCAGTGAGGCAGACCCGCTATGGCTTGCCCCCCTCCGGCTGCCATTCTCTTCCCACTCAACCCACAGTGTGCCAGGGCTGGGGGAGCCAGCCGGCAGGGGGGCAGTCACGCCCCCATGCTCCGTGGGGCTGGCAGGGATGCCCCTGTGGGGGAGGGCAGAACTCCAGACTCTCCCTGCAACTGGAGCAGCTCTGGTTCTTAATCCATTTCGCGCATTGTAAGATTGAGTTGAAACAAAGTTGTGCTGCTAAGAAAAAAAACGTTGAAAACCACGGATCCAGCCCTGGCCTTTACTGCACTGATAAAGAAGGTGGACTCCAGGGAAGAGACATGGCCGGCCCCAGCCACTCAGGCTCATGTCAGAGAAGAATCTGGAACAGGCTCAGTCCGCTCCTGCCTAGTATCCTCTCCTCCCCTGGGTGGTAACTCGCAGTGTGCTGCAGCCAGGAAGGACTAGAGAGGCCGGGCTAGCCCCGCGAACATTCGCCACAGCCCCTGGGCCTCGTCCGGCCCACAGCAGACTTCGCTTGGCCTGCAGTGTTTATTTTTAAACATTTAAGCCAACTGGGAGACTTTCCATTAAATCTGGATTCCTAGCTTTTCTTGAAAACTAAACATCCGGTGACACTGGCCCTATATTGCCTCATGACAGCAGTGGGCTGAGTAGTGATGGTCCCTTTATTCAGGGACCAAGAGCCCCCACCACCCTGCTGCCTCCAGCACTGTGACAGGGAAATGTTTCTTGGTACCTGCCCTCTTTATTGAAAGTGGGAAAATAAAAGGCAGACTAAGACACTGGGAGGGAGCACACTTCTGGATGAGAAAAATACCCTCTGCATCTAATCTGCCAGCTCACTTCCAGCTCGCTTTCCTCTGGCCTTCCCTGCTCACCCCTGGCCCAAGTCCCCGCCCTACAGAATAGGAGGGACCTCTCTGGGGAGGGGTGGTCCCTGCCTGTGGTCCAGTCCAGAGGAATGTCAACTCCCTTATCAGCCACCACTGTCTCCAGCCAACCAGGCAGATACCAGACGTAAAGGGCCAGCCTGGTCCCAGGCCCCTGAGGAGTGATGGTCCCAAGATAACTAGAGGGCTGTCTCCTCCCCTGGCCAGGTCTGTGACTGTAGCTCTGGACCCCCCCAGCCTGAGCCTCCTCCAGCCGAGAGTCAAATGATTTGAAGGTCCCCCGCTGCTGATACTGTTTATGTAACTTGCTACCCTCCCCCTGCCAAAAAAAAAAAAACCAAAAGCCAAACTTGCAGAGGCCTGACCATATGCCATGTCAGAGCCCACTTTCTGAACTCCAGGCTGGGGGCCTCCTCCAGTTCAGAGACCACAGAGATAGTGACACCCAGGTTTCCTGGGGCTCACGGGGCTGGGGACAGTGTGAATCTGTGTTAACTGTGAAATCTACTTCCTCTGGTTTAGCAGCCCCCAGGACTACGAGGTGACTCTGGAATGACAAGAACAGTTTGTTCTAGATTCTGTCGATGGGTCGAATTCCCCGTGTTTGTGATTAAAGTTCCTAGAGGAGTCAGAAAGGTGGGCTAGCGCTGCAGAGTCACACAGTCCCCTGTGGGTGTGCACACACGTGGCAGTCATCAACTCACCCGAGTGCATGATCTGAATCCTCCTTGCCCCAGACCTCCTCTTCCCCTCCCCTTCTCAGCTTTTGCCATCGTCACCTACCCAGTTACCGAAGCTAGAAACCTCCAAGCCAGTCGTTCCTGAGCTCTCGCCATTCCCTCGTACCCCCACATCCAATCTGTCCCCACGGCCTGTCCACTGTACTTTCCAGGGGCCTCTAGACTCAGCCAGTCCCCCCGACACACTCTACTGCCCTGCTCAGCCCGAGGCCTCCACTGGCCCTGCTCAGGGCGCCATCCACTCGCAGGTCTTCCTCCTCTGCCCTCACACCTCGCCAGCCTCATCACCCTCTGCAGCGCTTTCAGAGTTGATCTTCCTAAAACAATGACAACAGCCCTAATCATGATTGTTTTCTGCTTTAAAAATGTTGCTGGTTCCCCCTTCCTACGCGATGAGTTCCGAGAGACCCAGCACGGCCTCCAAGCCTCTCCGCTTCAGCCTTGGTCCCGTCTCCATGCTCACCGCCTCGTGCAGCCCACTCTCTGTCACTTTGGGCTGCTGGCCAGCCAGTCTCTTCCGTTGTGTCCCGTTCCATCCTCTCTACAGATGCTCAGCATTCATCGCCTAGCTACCTGCGCCCAGCATCTGCAGGTACTATGCCAGGCACCGGGGCAAGGACGAAGAGCACACACGCTCAGTGGATGTGCACCACGTGGGTGCTTCCCCACCGTCAGCTCACAGAGCCCCTGTGAGCCACGTCCTGCAGGCGAGAACACTGAGGCTCCCTGAGTCCGGGTGACCGGCCCAACGCAGCACAACCACCTTGCCCCCAAGCCGCAAGGAAGCAAAGGTGGCCCTTACCCATGGGGTCCTGGGGTTCTAGCCACATGGACCCTTAGCTCCCAATTCTTAGCTGACAGCAATGACTCCAAATGAAGGACTGACTTAATTTCTCCTCAGTGTACCTCGCCGGCACCAGGCAGGCAGACGGCAGACCACAAACCCCACAGCCCCGCCTTTCAATCTGGGAACACTGCGCCTCCTCCGTAGCAAGTTTTAAGATTCCTCAGCAATCACAATGTCACGTATAAAAGAAAACCTCCGCTGCCCGGTGGTTCCTGGGTCTGCGGCAGCGCCCACTGTGGACAGAGGCCCCATCAATAACGAAGCAGCTCCACAGCGCTCACCAGGCCAGAAAATTGCTGCCATTCATCAGATTCAAATAATCAAATCTGTGCCACAATGTGTCACATCCCTTCCAGGGTGAACTTTATGATTTCCACTATACAGTTAAGGGTGGGTTTAATCCTGTAAATCAGAACGAAATGTCATTCGACACAGACCGAAACCATTCTTTCTTTGCAATGGTCCAGGGAAAGAAAACCACCACGCTATGCTCGAGCACCTCACACACCGTATCTCCCTTGGCCGTCCAAGAACTCTGCTGGTTGGGTGGGAACGTCCCCTTTTGATGGCGCAGGACTCTGAGGCTCGGGCAGGTTAAGGGCAGGGCAGCACTCGAACCAGTCTGCCTAATGCTGAAGCTCCCGCCCGTCCCGCTGAACCTCGCATGCCGAGGCCCTGCGCAGGGTGGGGCTGAGAAGACCTTGCAGAGACGGAGCTGGCACTGGCCTTGAGAAGAGGACAGGACTAGCTGAAACACGGAGTGGGGGAGGCCACCCATGTGGGCTCAACAAGGCGAACTGAGACACAGAGTCCGGGATGCATTTGGCAGGCAAGGAGAACTGTGATTAGAAAGAACAGCCTTGGGAGCTCCTTCCAGACACAACTCAGCACGACTCTGCAGGCCCTTCCCACTGGCTGGCCTGTGGCTCTTTGTGTGTCCAGCTGTCTCTCCCACAAGCCAGTACCCGTCTCCTGACCAGTGGCTGGTGGGAACATGCTCGCGCCCTCACCCTGCCCACCACACAGCAATGTCTCAGGAACAGGTCATTAAGTAAAAACCACCCTGCCTCCCAATTCAACGGCAACCTCCTCCCAAAGTCTTACCAAAAAAAATACAGAGCATAATTGCAAAGCTGGGTCTGCGAGGCTGTCTCCCGAGGTGTTGAGAACAGGGTGTATGCTGACCTGAGCTGATTGTTTAGTTATGGCAGCCCTCACTGACAACCAGGGGCCTGGTTTAAAATCAACACCTGCGTGCAAGATTTTCCAAAAGGGTCCTGACCTTCTAGGCCACTGTCCCACTGCACCACGGGAAGGCTCCATCCTTTCCAGGGCTCCGAACGCTGCAGGGCTTTCTGGCTGACGGCGAAGTCTATACAGGCATCACGCTGAAAGCCACCACTCTCGCCATCAGTTCTGGTGACTTCTCTACTAGGTCACAACGCTGGGCATCTGTTGTCTTTGCCCAGCACCCTCTTTCCACTGGGGCCTGCCCTTTCCCTGTACCAGGGTGTTCGAGGGGATTCTCAGTCACTGCGGCCACAGGAATAGGCAGCCAAATGTGGCCTGGCCAGAAATAGTACCCACTTCCCTGACCCACCGATGGGGTGAGGTGTGAGTGTGTGACCAAGCAGAGGACTTCCATGAGATTTGGAACGTGAGCACAGGCAGAGAAACGGTGTCTCTCACTTGCAAATCGCCAGAGATAAGGACGCGGACTGTGGCTGCTGCAGTCACCTTTCCTGACACGTGATGAGGGCCTAAGAAGGATGCCGACACTCCCAGGAAAGCCAGGAGTTAGACAGACAGGCAGAGCCCTGAAGACTCCTTGAGCCTCTAAATCCAGCTGTGCCTTGAAATTCCCAGTTCCCAGGGCCAATACTATTTCCTTTTGGGGGAAATAGTATTGCTGGCACTGAGTTTCTGAACTTTCAACAGGAAGCATCCCCGTGAATATAAGAAGAGACCAACACACCAGAGTGGAGGTGAAAACACCCGCCTTCTAGGAGCTGGCTGCTGGGTGACAAGATGTGACATAAACGTGAAGAGATGAGAACAGTCAACACTTAAGCTTC